AACGTTGCAAACGCGAATGGGTCCACGCCGGAGACGGAGCTGGGTGCATACTACAATCAGCGTCTGTTCTCAAGCGCCAGAATTGCTATCATTCTGAAGCAGCTTGCACAGATTGTGCAGAACGCCTCTAATAATCCCGGGGAGGCGGTTGGAAGAATTGATTTCATGACGGAGGATCAGCGGTCGCTGCTACCAGACCCCACATCAGATCTGCATTGGTCCAGCTTTCGCGGAGCCATCCATGATATCTTTGCACAGAATGCCGAGAAGCATCCGGACAAGCTATGTGTGGTGGAAACCAAGTCGGAGCAGTCTCCTCACCGTGAATTCACCTACCGGCAAATCAATGAGGCGTCAAATATCCTAGGCCATCACCTGGTCCAGGCTGGCATCGAGAGGGGCGATGTTGTAATGGTTTATGCCTACCGTGGCGTTGACCTTGTGGTAGCTGTCATGGGTATTCTCAAGGCCGGTGCAACCTTTTCGGTCATCGACCCTGCCTACCCCCCTGAGAGGCAGTGCATTTACCTCGATGTTGCCCGCCCGCGAGCACTCATCAACATCGCGAAGGCCACCAAGGAAGCCGGCGAATTGACTCAGCTTGTTCGGTCTTTCATCGATGAAAACCTTGAGCTGCGGACGGAGATTCCCGCGCTTGCACTGCAGGATGACGGTACTTTGGTTGGAGGATCTGTTGAGGGTCAAGATGTCCTCGCTAATCAAGTTTCTCTGAAGTCGACGCCGGTAGGCGTCGTGGTCGGGCCCGACTCGACCCCGACTTTGTCATTCACCTCGGGTTCTGAGGGTAGACCAAAGGGCGTCAGAGGACGTCATTTCTCTCTGGCGTACTACTTCCCATGGATGTCTGAGACCTTCAAGCTTACCCCCAATGATCGTTTCACTATGCTGAGTGGTATCGCTCACGATCCTATTCAGCGAGATATCTTCACACCACTCTTCCTGGGAGCCCAGCTGTTGGTCCCGGCTCGTGAGGATATCCAGAACGAGAGACTTGCGGAGTGGATGCGCGAGTATAGCGCTACTGTTACCCATCTGACTCCTGCAATGGGTCAAATTCTCGTCGGCGGTGCCTCTGCGCAGTTCCCTGCTCTTCATCACGCTTTCTTCGTTGGTGATATTCTGATCAAGCGAGACTGCCGTTCTCTGCAGGCCTTGGCTCCTAATGTCAACATTGTCAACATGTATGGAACTACTGAGACTCAGCGTGCCGTCAGTTACTATGAAATCCCCAGCTACTCTAGTCAGGAGGGCTTCTTGGATACTATGAAGGACGTCATTCCGGCGGGTCGCGGAATGGTCGACGTGCAGATGTTGGTTGTAAACCGGTTCGATCCTAGCCGCATCTGCGCCATTGGCGAAGTTGGTGAAATCTACGTGCGTGCGGGTGGCCTGGCAGAGGGTTACCTGAGCAATGAGGAATTGAACAAGAAGAAATTCCTCACCAACTGGTTTGTTGATCCGCAGACGTGGGTCGAGAAGGACAAGGCTGAAAGCCAGGGCGCAAACGAGCCCTGGAGACAATTCTACGTCGGACCCAGAGATCGCTTGTACCGCAGTGGAGATCTGGGCCGATACACTCCTTCTGGCGACGTTGAGTGTTCCGGACGTGCTGACGATCAGGTCAAGATCCGAGGGTTCCGCATCGAGCTCGGTGAGATCGATACGCACCTTTCTCGGCATCCTCTTGTCCGGGAGAACGTCACTCTGGTGCGAAGGGACAAGTTCGAGGAGCCGACTTTGGTCAGCTATTTCGTGCCAGATATGAGCAAGTGGCCCTCCTGGCTCGCAAGCAAGGGCCTCAAAGATGATGATTCTGCCGAAGGAATGGTTGGCATGCTCAGACGATTCCGGCCTCTTCGCGATGACGCTCGGGAACACTTACGCAGCAAGCTCCCTGCATACGCAGTGCCCACGGTCTTCATTCCTCTGAAGCGAATGCCTCTGAATCCCAACGGCAAGATCGACAAGCCTGCATTGCCGTTCCCAGATACTGCCGAACTCAGTGCGGCAGCACCTCGCCGCAGATCATCCGTCTTGCAGACTCTGTCCGAGACCGAGCAGGTTTTGGCCCAGATCTGGGCTAACCGCATTTCCAACATCACCGCTCGCATGATTGGACCTGACGATTCATTCTTCGATCTGGGAGGACACAGTATCCTGGCTCAACAGATGTTTTTCGATCTGAGACGCAGGTGGCGCGGAATCGACATCAGCATGAATGCCATCTTCCGTAGCCCTACCCTCAGAGGGTTCGCTGCCGAGATCGATCGCTTGGTCAACTTCGAGTCATTCGCTAGTAATGCCAACGAGGCTGATGCCACCGCAGATACTCTGGCCACTTCCAATGAAGCTGATGATGAATATTCCAAAGATGCTAGGAAGCTGGTTGAGACCCTGCCCAAGTCTTTCCCTGAACGAACCGAGGACATGCTCTCGGGCGAGCCTACTGTGTTCCTAACCGGTGCAACTGGATTCCTCGGTGCACACATCCTCCGTGACCTTCTCACTCGCAAGTCGCCTATGGCAAGAGTCGTGGCACTCGTTCGTGGTAAAAGCGACGAGCAGGCTCTCGATCGCATTCGGTCTACATGCAGAGCGTACGGCTTCTGGGATGAATCATGGACTAGCAGGCTGCAGTGCGTCTGCGGTGACCTGGGAAAGCCACGGTTCGGTCTGTCCGAGGCGTTGTGGAATGATCTGACAGAACGAGTGGATGCTGTGATCCACAACGGTGCTCTGGTCCATTGGGTGTACCCTTACTCTACCCTCAAGCCAGCCAACGTTTTGGGCACCATTGACGCTTTGAGGCTTTGCGCTAGCGGAAAACCGAAGCAGTTCTCTTTTGTCAGCTCGACCAGTGTCCTCGACAATGACCATTATGTGCTTGAGTCGGAACGTATCATTGCGGCCGGCGGTGCGGGTATCAGCGAGGATGACGATCTGGAGGGCAGCAGCGTTGGACTGGGAACCGGTTATGGACAAAGCAAGTGGGCTGGCGAGTACCTCGTCAGAGAGGCCGGCCGAAGAGGATTGAAGGGAACCATTGTTCGTCCTGGTTACGTTCTTGGTGACTCCAAGACCGGAAGTAAGCATCGATACCCTGACCAGCGTCTGCACTCAAGATTGGAAGATTGACTAACATTCACTCTTTAGCCACGAACACGGATGATTTCCTCATTCGAATGATGAAGGGATGCATTCAGCTCTCTGCTCGTCCCAACATCCACAACACTGTCAACATGGTGCCCGTCGACCACGTTGCTCGTGTTGTCATCGCCGGTGCCTTCCAGCCCCCTTGCACGCCAATCGGTGTCGCACAGGTGACCGGACACCCCAGGCTTCGTTTCAACCAGTTCCTCGGCGCTTTACAGACCTACGGATACGATGTACCCCAAGTCGACTATGTCCCATGGAAGATGTCTCTGGAGCATTATGTCAATGACGGAAAGCACGATGATCCCGAGTCACAGCACGCACTGTAAGTCACCCTATGGAGATCGTTACAACAGGGGCAGAACACGTACTAACTGCTACCTCAGTATGCCCCTCTACCACTTTGTGACAGCAGACCTGCCGTCCAACACTAAGGCTCCTGAGCTGGATGACATTCACGCCGCTGCTTCCCTGCGTGCGGACGCCGCCTGGTCCGGCATCGATGCCTCCGCTGGCGCTGGCGTGACCGAAGAGCTTGTCGGTCTCTACGCTTCCTACCTCGTTACGATCGGATTCTTACCCCCGCCCTCTACCTCTACGACCGGGGCGCGTCCATTGCCCGAGGTCCAGCTCAGCGAAGACCAGAAGAAGGCTCTGGCGAACGTCGGTGGACGTGGGGGCACTTCTTGAGAAGTTTCTTCCTAGGAGCGTTTGTATGGGTTTGATGTCATTTCTCTCTGGTGTATAAAATGAGCGGTTCCGTATGACCAGAAAAATTACGAGTGCATGTATGTATATATAGAAGTGGAAATAAAAGGAGAATGCGCGATTTTCATAGAGATACGGAGTACTACTGTAGATGGTAATTCAGGAGGTGCTCCGTCGCTGTCATATTTCCCAACGTGGATAGATGGAGCGGGAGAGTAGAAATCGCTCATTTTGACTCCTGAATTCCACCTGTCGAACGGGATCGCAATCATGAGACTCGGATGATGCTGGAAAGCGAATATCAGGGAATTGCTAATTCGAAGCAAGCCACATATCACGATATTGGTGCTCCGTAGTACAGGCAATATCATGCGATCGCGACGAGAGAGACGGCTGATCCAAGCATTTGCCGCGATCCCGTTCGCAGTGTTTCCGGCTCACCGGACCTTTTCGTCCCCCACGGTGCCCATGAACAATCCCGTCCTTGGCCAACTGTCGACACAACATTTAATCTCCGTCCCTCGACCAGGTCTTATCTTCTTGTTCTTCCTCGCGAATATCCTCATCTTCCTCTTAACTTCTCTGCAACCGCTGTCGTGATCCTCTCAATTGGTAATAGACCCTCGCTGCGACAAAATGAGTCACTCCGGTACGTGCGCATTTCCTTTCTTGGCGTCTGCGGATGCTGTTCCTGAACCCTGATCAACTCGTGATCTTTGTCATTTCTCTGCCCCTCGACCCTTCCGCATCATTTGGATATTATCATTCTCTTGATAATTATCCATCAAAGGAAGATTGTTTCTGATCGGTTTGCGGCGGTTGTGCTGAGCTGCCCGTCTGTCCCTTCTCCGGTTTCGCCCTTCCCGCGTTTTTCCCTTTTTTTTTTCCATTTTTTCCCCTTCGATCGCTTTCCGTCGGATCTTCCCCCACCCCCAATCGCTGTTTCGCAAACAGCAAGCCATATTCCTCAAAGTACTCGCTGTATATTTGTGTCCTTCAGGATGAACATAACGAGGCTGTTACCGCGCTCCAATGCTCTGTCTTCGCCGACAGCAGCAGCACGAGCATTTCGGGGTCGCGGGGCATGCGTATATCCTCCATCATCACAGACCGTATATATGTGTCCAACCTCCACCGTCAGCTTAATGCATCGCTCGCCCTGTTCCACATCTGCGCCATTGCGATCGAGTCAGAAGTCGGCGGCCCAGACGAGTGCTAATAGTGACTCACTTTCAGACAAATTCTCTGCCGCGCTTGCCAAGAACAAGGAATGGGCTGCGAAGTGCTCCCAAGAGCACCCTGAGCTGCTTCCCACACTTGCTGTCGGTCAACACCCGGAAATTCTGTGGATCGGCTGCTCCGACTCCCGCTGCCCCGAGACCACCATCTTAGGCCTTCTGCCCGGTGATGTCTTCACCCACCGTAACATTGCCAACGTGATCCACCCTGCCGATCTCAGCTCGGGCGCCGTCATCGAGTTTGCCGTGCGTCATCTTCGCGTTAAGCACGTCGTAATCTGCGGTCACACCAAGTGCGGAGGTGTGGCCGCTGCCCTGGGCAACAAAGGCCTGGGCATCCTCGACCCCTGGCTGATTCCTCTGCGTCAGCTCCGTGAGCAGCACCTCGCTGACCTGCAATCTCTGTCCCAGGACGAGGCCGTCGTCAAGCTGGCCGAGTTGAACGTCAAGGAGGGCCTGAAGGCATTGACGCAGAAGAGCGTCGTGCTGGAGGCGATGCAGGAGCGAGGCCTTCAGGTGCACGGGCTCATCTACGATGTCGGATCTGGCGTCCTTCGGGAGCTGGACGCCGCTGAACCCGAGGATGCGATCAAGGCACGGTTGACATCGTTCAAGACCGATGCTTAGGCGGTAGGCATCTTCATTGTGTTGTGTGTGTTCGATTCCAGCGATTTTCGGGTTCCATTTTGGTCGGATGTTTATATCTGTGACTGTTGATTATGAGCGAGAGGTCAGCATTGGAGCGTGCGTAGTCCAGGAGATGTATATAGTCAGATACCTAGGTCAGAGATCTGAAATCTAGGACGATTGAACTCAAGAAGTCCAACACCAAGTCCGGTAGCGAAGCCATGTCAAAGACTGTAGCTTGCAGACTTCGTCGCTCTCAAGAACGGCATCATTACCGTCCAAACACACAGACATAAGCTGTCGACGAAGGTACAGATGCAGGAAAGAAGAGGAAGAAAACAAGAAAGAAAATCGATTCTGAAACGACTACGGGGGAGCCCAATTGATTTAGATTATTCAGACCTCAGCTAATTACGCAGCAACTAGGGATACGCCGATTCCAGAGGATCCAGCATACAACTTATACCAATGAAATCTCACTTGTTCGGGGAGGAGAACCTTGTGGCCTGCTGGTTCGGACCCGATGGTTGCCGTTTTGGGTATGGTACCGGCCGAAGCGGGGTTGTGTCGGGAGAGAATGATGCCTGAGGTTCGTATCGTCATATCGTTGATGTGAGGCGCCGAATATGGAAATCAACATTGACTTTCGCAGAAGACTAGTTAGAGAGATCAATACATTGCCATTGCTAATGCGGTATAAGTTTCAATAGATCTTCCGCCCCACTCTTGCGTTCTTTTGCGAGATCACATATGGCTTTTGTCCTTCTTGTTGACAGCTTGGCCTGATGGCACGAGGTCATTCACGAATTCCCGCATTTCCCCTGCAATGAGCCCATAGCTGAGAGCATCTCCTGTGGCCCCCAAGGTGGAGTTGTGGATTTCACCCACCTCCTTGACAAACCTGGAACCGAAGTCGATGAAGGATGTGATATTAGAGTCAACGCATCCATTGCTATAGACTAACCTGCTTGTTCTTCAGAGATGATTGATAAGCTCGGAACGCAGTCAGCTAGCTGATATTAAATAAGTATATACCGACGCAGTTTGCAGTTCAACAAGGTCTCAAATCCTAGACCTTCTTGAACTGTTTCCTGGCAGTGATTTGAGAGCTTGCTGAACTGCATGCCCGCACCGACGAGGCTCAAGGATTGGCAGCAGGCATCCAGCAATTGAGCACGGATGATTTCTCCATCTCAGTTATCTTTGTGCTGATGTGACAAGCACATTCAATACGGATTCTGGCGATCGTCAAATATATGTGACAATGGTCGGAGATAAGCAGGGGCCGGACCTACATAGCCTCTGGGACATTTCGAAGCTAGGACTGCGGGCCCACCTGGTTCGTAGAAGCATCGATTCCTCCGTCATGCCTCTTTGCTCCAGCGCCCGGCTATTTGGACATATTTACTGTCTTTTCCTAATGTGAATAGTTAAAGGAGTAAGGGCCAAGCTGATGCTTTAACCGAATTTCTGGACCGAATTATGAATATCCGATGGTCGGCTACTCATCGGCTCAAGCGCATCATCGCTTCAGACTTTCGGCAGATCCAGTGGACAAAATTGGGTGGTGGATGGTTCGTTCTACGTCAGTGCCCGAAGCTTAGGCCGGCTTAATAATGATCGCGGCTTTAAGAATGGAGTTATCATCAACAGACGGACTTGCTTCAACCTTGGTCATTTGGTTGCATTTGCTTTTCTTCCATAATCCTGGCTTTCTTCTACTTGCTGCTGCGCATTGAGCACTCTTTTCTTATAATCTACCAATAGTGCATACAATGGCTTCCAACAATGAAATGGAATATGTCCGGTATGCTCATTCAATGCTTTGCTGCTCGTCCAGGTCCCGCACCGCTAACCAGACCCGATGGAAATAGGCTGGGCAACTCGGGCCTCAAGATCTCCAAGATCATCCTAGGAGCCATGTCCTATGGCTCCAAAAAGTGGCAGGATTGGGTCCTCGACGAAGACGAGGCCCTTCCTCTGATCGAGCATGCCTACAAACGCGGCATCAACACATGGGACACGGTGAGTGGGCGCTCATGGGCACAAATGACGCGGCGCAGCTAGACCCTCTGACACGAGTAATGCATTGAAGGCCGACACATACTCCCACGGCCTCTCGGAAGAGATCATCGGCAAGGCTCTGAAAAAGTACTCCATCCCCCGACACAGAGTCGTCATCCTAACCAAATGCTACTTTGGCGTCACCGACGAGACCAACGAGAGCAAAATGCCTCCTATCTCTGCCTGCAACCGAAACGACGGCGACTGGGTGAACCGCGTGGGACTCTCCCGCAAGCACATCTTTGATGCGGTCGATGCCTCCGTCAAGCGGCTGGGCACGTACATCGATGTGCTGCAGATCCACCGCCTGGATCGGGAGACGCCCCGCGAGGAAATCATGAAGGCTCTCAACGATGTGGTTGAGAGCGGGAAGGTCCGATACATCGGCGCCAGCACGGTCCGTCCTCCCCCGTCTCCTTTCTGACTGTCCAGAATGACCCTAATCGCTGACGTTCTCAGATGGCCGCTTGGGAATTCCAAACCCTCCAGAATATCGCCGCCCGCAACGGCTGGCACCAGTTCATCTCCATGCAGAACTACCACAACCTCCTCGCCCGCGAGGAAGAACGCGAGATGATCCCGTACTGCCTCGACTCCGGCGTCGGTCTGATCCCCTGGTCGCCTATGGCGCGCGGTGTCCTAGCCCGACCCTGGGGCTCGCGCTCCTCCGTCCGTGAGAATACCGACGCGACGCTGCAGCTGCTGGTCCGCAGCCGCGAGACCGAAGCTGACAAGGCGATCGTCGAGCGGGTCGAGGAGATCGCGAAGAAGAAGAATATCTCCATGGCGCAGGTAGCCATTGCTTGGGTGCTAAGTCATCCCAAGGAAAACCCTATTCTGGGTCTGTCGAGCAAGGAGCGAATCGACGAGGCGGTTGCTGCTATCAAGGTGCAGCTGACGCCGGAGGAGATAAAGTACCTCGAGGAACCTTATCGCCCCAAGGCACTTACGGCACTTGAGCGGTGATTATTCGTATACATGCATGCAAGGGTGTATCCATCAGTGTCTGCGTACGTAAGTGGTCGCATTTATGCAGTCAAGCTGCTGAGGGTCAAACAATAGTTTCAGACGCTTTTCTATGTACACTCTTCTAGGTAATATCATAGATGAAAGATGCCCCTTAGTAACCACACAGATGGGATACAAAACTAGGAAAATGCAAAACTGGATGTGAAAGTCATTGATACGCGTGAGAATCATAATGCTAGAAATGCAAGGAGATGAGATGATCGAGTGAGAAGGCCTCCAGAGCCGGTGGGCGCGAAACCATGTGTAGTCCATGGTCCCGCATGGAAACATGGTCTCGCGCGCATGATGCAAGTTGCGTAAATGGCAAAGAACCAGTCTTCGCTTAATGGTGTCCGCTTTTTTTCGTGAAGAACTCAAAGAACCCGCTTAATCGATGTCGGCGCTTTCCTTTGGGCGGGGCAGAGTCTACCGCTCGGGTTTCAAGCAGTTTGCTGGCCTTTTCCGATGACGCCGTCGAATGCTTCCGTGACCGACGTCTCGTATCAGTAGACTTGTCTGGCGCTGTGTCTGGGCCGCCAGAAGTCGTGAAATCGCCTATTTTGTGGCGAGAAGACCCGCCAGCGACATGAGTTTCCGTCGCGTCAGTGTTGCCTAATTCCTGCGTCCCCGGAAACATGCTATGTCTATTGGGTTGGGTTTCCAGCCCGGAGACACTTCGCCTATTGGACTGCTCAATAAAAGCGGCGCCCGTAGACCTTGAGCGTTTTGGTAAGCTGGCGTACTTCATCGATCTGGCACGCTCAGAAGGACCTGGTGTTTGCAACGGAAATGTACTCGACACCGACGATCGATGCGCGGTTTTATTGAGCACCGGTCCGTCCAAATACGTGTCCCGTTGCTCAGAAAGAAAATCGTCCGGTGGTCTTACGGCCGTTGGAGAGCTCTGTCTTGACACTCCGGGCGAACAAATCCCTTTCGGGTTTAACATTAGAGCCGAGTCATCATAGGTGAAACTTTGCGACCAGCCTTCTCTGAATGCCACCCATATTGCAGTCAGGATAATGATTGTCCGAAGACTATCATCCGTTTTGATCACTTCTTGGTCCAGGGGCGCGTCCAATTCCGACGAGTCACTGACCACCGACATGCCACAGGTAGGTGAAAGAGTGGGGTCGGAAGGCATAGAATACTCGTCAAACACTTCAAGGACATTGCGAGTCATCGATGCGATGACGGGATGTCGGCGGGTATTAGGGTTGATAACACTGAATGTAAAACGTTTGCCGTCCTCGTGCAGAGAACCACCAGGAGGTGCCGATACACGGCGACTTTTCGCTCCACGCGAGACCCAACGCAAAACCTGCACCCCATGATCCGTCTGCGCTCTAAACTCATATGAACCATTGGGCAACGGGATCGCCTCCCAGGCCGGACCAGAGCTCAGACATATTTCCGCTCTCCCCTGGGACAAAGCATCCTCTCTGAGTATTTGACAGATCGTCGCAATAACCTCCCGATTTTCCTGGCTCTCTTCGTCCGAGCTGAGATACTTGTCTGCGATATCTCCTACCGTTCGTTCGTACAGATCGCTTGTCACGACGATAAGGTCGTTCGGTCCTAGTCCTTTCTTCCCTTTGAAAATTGTAGGAAATTTGCGGGCCAACCGCGGCAGGAAAACTGTTGATGGTAGCACATCCAAGACAGGCAGGGGCCGTGATGTCTGAGAGACTCTCTGTAGCTGCAGAAGAAGCTTTGGTCGAAGTTTCAGCCGCCGATGGCGTGCGTGGGCCGCCGGGTGGGCTAATTGGTAGACAGTTTTCGGGCGTGATGATTGTTTCCTAACTGAGTGAGCGCGGCCGATGGGGGCCCGATCTGCAACTGGTGCCACTATTGTATAGTTGTCATCGCTGGATGAGATCGATTCAACTTGGCTCAGCGGCATCGTACGTAGTGGTGCTTTGTGCGATAGGTTAGTTTCCGTTGGTTTGTATCGATGATATAGTTCCGCCAGTCCCAGAGAGGATAGGGTAGGAAAGGAGATGGTCGGGGAGGGATGCGGTGCCGGACTGGAGAGTCGTAACTCGGATGAGGCTGCGACAACGTCGTTCTCATGAGCAGCAGCAGCATCCGCCGTCCAGCCAAGGTTGAATAGCATTATTTCATGAGATCGAAAGACTGCGGTCTACCCATTAAGAGGAACATCGGTTGACTAGGCAGAGGCGAATTGCAGGGGTGGCTTGTGATGTAATCGCCAAGGATGGATAGTTTGTACAATGTACAACCCACACAGGCTGAATCTTGTGTTGATCTGGGGTGAGATGGGAGAATGAAAGCGGGTTCCCACACGGGGTGAAGGGGTCGTTTGAGTATTCTATTCGGAGGTAATGAGAGTGTGAGAATAATGGAAAAGAGAAGGATGATATTGTATGACAGAGTGGGAAGTCGTAAGCTCTTGTGTGACCTGCACAGCAACAGTAAGGATAAATTGTCCGCCCCAGTTCTGAGGCTGAGCTGTGGAGTGTGGAAGTATCGGAGGAAGACGCGAGTCAGCGCAGATGGACGCGGGGGAAGGAAGGAATTATGTTAGGTAGAAAAGAGAGACGCAAGAGATCAGAATAAAGTGCAGTAATGCAAGGGGAAGAGGCTGAAACTGTCTTAAAAGAATTAGCTGGAATGCTGAAGGGCAAAGAAAGTCTTGGTATGGAGACTAGTTGGCTGGGTTGACGATGCCAATGCTGAAGGCGATGAGAATAAGTTGGTTACTTTGTACCTCTAAACTAGCCAGAGAGGAAGGCTGCATGAAGTGTATAAGTAGTCAGGTATGAAAGATGGCGGTCAGTATCAAAGAAATTTTCAGGGATTTGAGAGGATATCCACAATAGAACCACATGGGTCAAATGTATCCATTATTATTACAATGATTATTCTTCTGGTATCCATGAATCTATCCAGAGAATTGTACAGAGGAAGGAAGATTAGTTGCCCTCTGCCATCAAACTGTACCCGTTCGTCGGATATCGGAACAGCCAATCCATGGGCGATAACTCGCATCCATAACCCAAACCAGTCTAGACGACGATCTTCGGGGCTGACAAGGTAGGCAAAGACCGAGCCATGCTGGCGGAGACGATCTTACGGCCATACAGTCTGTCTGTCATCTGGATACTTACACTTTGCTCCGTCGGAGCACGGAAGGATCAAGGTCTCGAACAAACGGGATGATCACCTAACAGGAAATTTTACTACCTAGCACTTACCTAGCAATTAGCACGCCGAGCATAACGACAAAGCGCCTCAGAAGCTGAAGCTCAAACCTTGATCAATCAGAAACCCGAGCTCGGAATTCGGACGATTTTGGTCGTTGAACCGGAGGTCTTGGCCTCCGAGTTGCCGGTAAATTTTGTAAAGTACGGAGTATGGAACTCCCTTGCACCAGCTTCCGTCCTTCGGCTGACTTCAAAAGGTGACAAACTCATCCACGGGATCAAAGTCAAGATTGGTCCGATTGAAAACGAGGTGGGAATACGAAACAACTCCATTCTATGAGAGACGGTGCGAACTAACTACCTGGATCTATCACGTTAGCCCAAACTGTTACCTAGCTTCGTGCAACATTGCTCTTCCAGCTACCACTGGGAGTAGTGGTACGCGTATATAGTAATACAATTTATACAAGGTCAAAGCTGAAAAAGAAGTGGAATGAACGGGTCAGATGCGTCATGTCGATGGTCCGATGGATCCCTGAAGGGTGAAGCCTGTGGTGCCACAGCAATCTGGATTTGGCTTGTGAATATGTACTGGACATCGCAGAACAAAATACTGTGGTGTTGTCACACAGGTACTGTAGAAGAGAAGAAATTGATACTACTGACTAGTCTAGTCACTAGCAGAAATCCACTCCGTAATGCATGACCTGCTGTCGAAGCTGAGGTCATTTCTCAGTACCGCCATCTACTCTGTACATGACAACACTGCTCAGGCTACCATTGTTATTCCAGCGACATCCATATGATAAACTCCTGTAAGTCAGTATTACGCATTTTGTCGTTCTTTTGGTGAGTATGCGGTTCCAAAGTTTTGCTTCCACCATTCTGTTGAAATATATGAAGGTCAATTATGACCTAGACTACGGAACAGAAAAGGGCCATTCCATGGTACAGGAGTCGAGTTCGCTGTATTAGCTCTGAAGAGACCCATCTACGGCCGCATGCTATCGGGTTATCAGTAGTTTATCCTACAGCTGACAGCACAAGATAATTATGTTGGATATTGTGGTTTCTAGACCCAAATCAACCCATAGGGCTGACCGGGACCCAGGTAAATATGTGTCAAAAAAAAATTGTTTAGTCAACCAGTGAACCCTTTCTTCTATGAGTGATTACATGACTCACTAAAAAAGTTCTTCCAGTCAATTCTCCTGCATACCGATCAATCAATTATCTTTAATCTTACTAGTACTACCCCTATCAACTAGGTAGTACAACATGGTCCCAAAGACCCAAACTACCTAAATGGCTGACGGGATCGCCACCAAATCGATCGACGTTATGCCAGTATGCCACTAATAAATACTGTGCATGTTTGGAAGTCGCGCATTAGTAACTAGTTTAACTTAGTTAACTAACTAACTAACTATTTCGCCGCTGCGCTGAATCAGCGGTCAGATTTAACTAGTTAATTATCTAGGAACATCAGTAGTATTATTAGTATTATTCTTATGCATGCCGAAGCCGAGCAATCCGACATGCTGGTCCACCTGACTTGACGATCTTGGCATTGATTACGGTGGGATCTTTGATTGCTGCACAGCACCTCGGCATGACAAGAAAGCCGAGTGCTTCTATTTCGTACGAAGTACGGAGTACAGGCGGCATTATTCTCCTTTCGCTGATTTGATGACCTTGCCACGGTTATCGGTATCCCTCTTGGTCTACATGGGCCCACAGCAAAGAGACAGACCCTGTCTCCATTGAACAGTGATGAGTCCGATGACTTCTCCGTCGCGACGCGCCGGTTCTCAATCAGCGTGCTCGCTCGGTCTAATCCTTGTCAATCCTCGCCGCCCTCTCAGAAGCTTATCCATTCTCTTTGGGTTATGGAAAGGTCTCATCTTCCTAGTAATAGTTTTCTGCCCCGGACTTGGCTATGACACCTCAACAAGTCTACTCCTCTATCCAACCAGAGACTTATCGGACGTTGATCCATTACACTTTCCCCTTTCACTTAGATTTGTGAGATGGGATTCCATTTACTTCGTTCACGCTGCTGAGCATGGCTATGTTTTTGAACAAGAATGGGCCTTTGGGTATGGTTATACCAGGCTTCTGGCCCTCCTTGCGTCCGGTATCTACAACAATTTTCTTCTAGATTGAGATATGTTTGCCTAGCACAAATGCTAATTATGAGTGTTCAGTATTACCTCGATCAGCCAACTTCGGTGAATCAGCTCGAATTGGATTGGTAGCAGTTGTGCTCTCCCACATCGCTCATTACCTATCAGTCCTGGTTCTATACAGGCTCTCAATCAACATCTTTGGCGGTGACACAGCCAAGCAGAAGACCCTTTGCTTTCTCTCCGCTGCTTTACACATCATCAGTCCAGCGGGTGCATTTCTTTCGGCACCCCATGGAGAAGCTCTGTTTTCCTTTCTCAGCATCTCTGGGTTCTATCTTTACTCGTCATCGGTTCTCGATGATACTACCAACCACCGATTGGCAAGGGACTTGAAACTCCTTACAGCCGCTGTACTAATATCAGCAGCCACAGCAGTCCGCAGCAACGGAATCCTTGGTGGAATTTTGTTCGCGTATGATGCTCTTCTACAGCTGCGGCAGATTTTAAGTCGAGGTTTGTCACTGGCGGTTGTCTCGCGCCTTGCGGTCATTGTCCTCGGAGGCTGTGTCATCGCCCTGGGTATGGCTGGACCTCAGTACATCGCTTTTAATGCTTTCTGCATGACTCCGAACGCCCCACGTCCATGGTGTGGATGGACCATCCCAAGCATATACCGCTTCGTCCAAGAACAATACTGGTGAGTGAAGATATACCAGACTGCCCCATGGCTATTGCTCAATGTGTCATACAGGAATGTTGGGTTTTTACGGTATTGGGTCGTACCAAATATCCCTCTATTCCTCTTAGCGATGCCCATTTTAGCATTGCTTCTTCGGTCAGCTCTCTGGGCGTGGAGACTGCCATCAATCACCAGTCAATTTTCAAAGAATGGTGCCAATGGAGCATCAACAAAAGCCATGTGGTTACTCCCTCGCTTGGCAATTATTCAAGCCCTACTCGCTGTTCTGGCATTCACCAGCTATCATGTCCAGATCATTAATCGGTTATCTTCTGGGTATCCATTATGGTACTGGCACCTGGTGACTGAGCTTATAAGCGATCTTGAAAACTCTCAATCTACTAATAAGAGCATCAGCATCCCTGCAGTTGCTATCCAAGCTATGATGATCTATGGTTTGATCCAAGCGGTTCTCTTCGGCTCGTTTCTCCCTCCCGCTTGAAGATATGTACCTGCTAAAGTCTACTTATTTCGGCTGTACAGCTCAATGAAGCTCACCACGTTATACTGGTGGCCGATCTATCCGGAATGAAATGAATTTATATATAGCATAGAGTAGACAAATGACAGGAGATAGAAGATATGACGAGGAAAGAAACAGGTACAAGAGAGTGCACGATTTTAATCATCTAAACATCCATGTTTTGCGCTCAGAATGTCTGAAAATCACCATACATCAATCCCTAGGAAATTGAATCCAACCAGAATCATTGTTGTGGGCGTTTCGCTCCTGGTGGCTGACAAAAGAAAGTAGCTTTAACTAACTAGGCTGCGGTGCTGTTACGTAGAATTATGTCATCAGTCGTCGCTCTGGTCGACCGAACTCACCTTCAACTTCATTGCTTCGCGTGAGCTCACATTATATTGA